TGAGTAAGTGCTGCTTAAATATCAGATGGAATAAGTTAAGTAAATAAAAAACATGTATTGCGCATATATTATACTTCCTACAACAATTATAACATTAATTTTATATGACAAATTTATTTTTTTGTAGCTTTGATTTCACAAAAACTGTATAATAAGGGAAAACACCAGTTTTAAAAGAATAAAAGTGATTTGCAATATTTCTGCAAGTCCCGCATGACTGGAATATTTTATGTGATAAATGGAAATTCGAGTTACAGAAGTTCGACTGTATTAAATGTAATGCACACACGGCGTATGCAGAAATATGCAAGAGGGAAGCTCACATTGCGTATACGCGGTGTTGTCGGCCCAACCAAGCAAATGGAAAAACAGTCAGAGGTGGCACACCGATGGTTAGATAGAATGATAGACCGAGAGGCAGAGAACAGACAAATACCCGTGCTAGAAATCAATCTCAGATAGACGGATGGATGGAGCAGCAATCGACATGTGAATTTTTGTGCAAATTGAAACACGCTTCTGATACGTGCAGGCAAATAAAATAGTTCACGGCGGACAGGGGAAGCTCTGGGAAAAAATGCAGAGAATACAAGGATTGAGCAAACAAACAAAGGGAGCGCAAACAAATCTGTTACTGGAAAACACGCAATAAACTATGCAACCGAGGGCAGGAGATTGGAAGGCACCGCTAGGCCAACAACTGGCCGAGTGACCCTCGTAAAACGTAACTGGTAACTCTGGTGTGACGCTGTTCGAAAGAGTGACAAACAAAGGTGTGCAATCGTAGTTCGACTCTGTTAACATTTCAATTAAATTCGTCTATAGTTACTTTAAAGATATTTTTATACTTTGATTTTACTGCTATCTTACCTTTATTAATTTTATAAACACAATCTGCTTTCGAAATCTTTGCCATAAGCGTGCAAACGTCTGTTCAAGGTATTTTCTTATCTTTCATCATAATATTATTCCGATTTTGAAAATGGTATTTGTTTCATATTCTAATGACGTGTAAGAATTTTATTGTTAAGGAGCCTATAAATTGTGAGGTTACCCATAAATAAAAAAGAAAACAGATGACGTCTTTCCAACTTGTGTTATCATGAAACCTGAAAACCTTTACTAATAAGCCCCTAAAAATAATGTATATTTTATAATCGCCATTTCTATGACGTGTTGAGATTAAAATTTAATGACCACTCACGCCAAATAAGCTTCTATACCAATGTGCTTGGTGAACAAAAATGAGTGGACGACTGTTTGCTTTAGTATTTTCAAGCCCGCCTGTATGCGTTGCATTTTTGTGCAAAGGGGCGAGGAGGTAAAGGGAGACTCTAGCTTGTGATTCATTCATTTCATTGGCCGGTCATTCAGGTACTCAAACCATGCAACCATCCATCCATCCGTCAGTTTGGGGCTGTCGCAACGCTCGGACCGCATTGCGAGGGCCATGCATCAGGATGGCAGCCAAGCGTTTTGGGCCAAGTGTGGGGCTCGTAAAAAACCAGAAGCATCCTACGAATTTTGTTTTCATCTCCATCATTTTTTAGCGGGGTGAAGTAGGCGAAAGGTCGGAAGAGCGGAGTTCGGGCCGAATAACAACCAATTTATTTGGCCACGCTGCAAATTGTTACCCAACTCGCATTCGATCACCATCATCATCGTCATCATCGCCAGGTCCTGACCCGCTGCTCCTCCTGTTCCGCTTTTACTCCTGACCGACGACTCGACCAGTCCTAGTCGTCGTCATCATCAAAAATCGTTGATTGCAACAAAACAAATTGCATTTTAAGGAGATTACTTGTCGGACCGTCTGCTCTAGATGAATAGTCGAGTGCTCCTGCCATCGAGTGGGTCTCTGGTTGCCATCTCTGTCCATCCTCCCAATCAATCCGCCTGAGTATTCGGTCATGTGTGCGGTGGAGTGGTCGATTTTTTAATAAATCATGGCGCATTAGTATGGGCAGCACAAAAAATGCTCTACCCCCTTTTTTTTTTTTTTTTTTGCATGGATATTTCGTTAAATTGGCAAGCATCAATCGAGTGGCCCATCGATTCGGGCTTTTGTTAGGTCACATATTGTGAAACCCGATACAGATTACGAATGATGGTCTCAGATGAATTAGAATCAAATTAAACATCCAATTTTCCAACCAAGGTAACAAGAAGTTGAAATAAAAAAGGCAGTAGCACATCCATCATGTCCTCAGAACGTTTAAAAAACAAAGTTTCCAACTTTGTTACAACCATTTAAACAAGTCAACAACCAATCCATCATACTCAATTTGATTTACCAAAAATCTTAAAAATAAATGGAACACAAACTTTTAAAGACTCTTACATTACAAGGCAATAGAAGTTAATTTAATTGCATTTGAAATAGTCAAAGTTTTAACTACCAAAAGCGATTCAAAAGCTTAAAATTAATTCACATTCGTCTGATACACTCTCACGAAATATTCAATAAATTAGCAACAAGCTAAGTTTAACTTAAGCGCATTAACTGGGACTTTGCCCCAACGCATCTTAAACAATTACCCTAAAAGCAGAATAACTAACCTTGCAAATAATATGCGTGGCATATAAGTGTCCCCTTGGTGCAGTAAAACCGTTTGAATTACATTATGATCTTTGCTCAAGCTGTTTACAAAACGCCCGCCCGAGACCCGCTAATAAAGGCAAATCCACGCCCAGCTAAACGCATTCACTTCGAAAAAAGGGCAGCCAATAAAAAGCCGGGAATAGTAAAAAATGCATGATTCAAGCCGTAAAAAACCCAAAACGACCGGGACAGCCGTCGTCCTCGGAAAAAGGACAACGCGGCGAACATTTCCATGAGTCACCAGCTTGCTTTTTGGGGGTGGGCCAGGCGCTTTATACACGCACGCGAAGGTAACGCTAGAAAGCCAGCAGAAAGTTAAAAAAAAAATAAAATCAGCTTAGGCCGGGTCCGAACCGAGAGATATATGTATACGAATCTGGGCTTTCGGGGGTTGCACAGCTTCTAGAATAAATTGGCAAAATAAATGCAAATGCCTGTGGGTTAGCATGAATGTGGCCTAGTCGCGGACAACGCGGCGCATTAGTAATGAAATTTGATTTGATTTTTATGTTCTGGTGCTTGCGGGCAGCCGGCATTGAAATGGAATTCATTTCGGGGGTAACAGGATTTTTATGTCCGCCTAATGGCCATAAACACACGAACACGAAATTATCGCAGCTGCCATGCTAATTGTGAACAAGTGATTAAGTTTAATTGCAAGCGAGATAAAAGTACAGCACTTGTGGCCATTCCGGGATTGAAATGCCCTATATACGCCATATCTATGCATATATGGGAAGCCGCAGCCCATCAATCATGAATACAAAAATACACCGCCAGCACTTCGGGGCTAAGCGGCTTTGTTATGCAAATTTCAACTCTCTGGGGAAAATTGGAGTGTCAAGGGGTCAGGCCGTAATAAAAATTCACAAGTCAAAAGTCTGCTATTGGCAAACATTTGGAAAACCACTTTGCAATACGGATTAAATATAAGAGTGCACAATGACCAAAGTTATTGCAAAATATTTCTATGCACACAGCAACTAGCTTTCAATTAAATGCGAATAAATACGGACATTTTAGTTTTGTTTTACTTGGGTCCTAGTAGTTATTTACAATTAAACTGGATAATGCATATATCTAATTTATTTTCGTGCCAGCCATCCAGATTTGCTAAAAGTGTGTGAATCAAAATATTGCACATTGTTCATCGGAATTGATTGCACAAACTGAAAAATAATTTCGCAAAAACACAGAAAACTGAAACTGCAAACAATTGGTCGAAATTCTACTACTCTGACCCCGTCGATATCTCGATGGCGTGTGCAAATTGAAACTAATTAAAGCCGAGTAATGAATTTATTTCGTACGGACGGGACGGAGAACTCTGCAATTGTTGAATGCGGTTTGGTTTGGATTGGTTTTGACGCTTCTCCTTCGAAGGAGCAGCATCCAAGCAGACGGATAGATAAATAGACAGACAATCGCATTTCCAGTTGTTAAAGCGGTTTCGATTTCAACCGATTATTCAAGGCTTTGTTAATTGCATTGTAATTTGCAATTACAGTAAATTTAATAATTGCCACTCAATTTATCTCAGCAATTGCCATTGCTCGTAAAGACATCATCGACGGGAACTCTATAACGCGTGGCGAGATTAACTTATTAAAATCGGCGAACAAAAGGAATTCCTATGCTCTCTCCCATGTCGTATTAGGTGCAGTTAATATTCATTAATTAACTGATAGTAACAATGACACACAATAAGCGTAAATCAATTTAAAGTGGCAATTTTTGTAGCACAATTGGGATATAAAGATTTCGGTGATAGCTCAGCTCATTAATTATGAAATTGGCTTAAATATTAAGAGGATAACAAATGTTGACAACATATTAAATGTATTTTTTTACTCTCCATTGTTTAACAAGACATTTTTTTGAGTTATTAAATTTGGCGTGGTATTACCACCCACTCTCATTTCGAAGTTAATTTTATAAGAATTAAAGCATAAATTAAGATTGACTAACAACATGGTGAAATACAAGTCGAGATTACTAGCAACCGATTCATTAACAATCAGAACTTTTACCAACTAAGCAAATAAAAGTTTCACATGTAAAAAAGACTGGCAGGTAAATTATAAAAAAATTAAGCAAACATGTCTACGATACTGACTGATGTCTGTAAAATGTTTAGCAGCACCATTCAAGTTACTACTTATGTACATAGCCTACTTGTACTGAAATTACTCATCGCACATTATCGACAATATCGCGAGTAAATAAATTCACACGATTCGGAGACAGAAAGAGATAGGGAGTTACTAACTCATCTACGAATAGCTCTCAATGGAACAAATACAAGTGGGTGGCATTTCGAAATACATACTCCAAAAAGTGGGGCCAGGGTCAGGGGAATGTTACAAGACCATAGCAAATATAACCGAATAAAACTCACCTCGCTGCAGATTGTGTATTTAATTTAAACGATGAGTTGCCAGCAGCAGACACATTGACCTCGAAACACTTTTCGACATTCGCCTTCGATGTTGATTAAAGACTCGTACTTTTTTCGATTACACGCGTAAATTTCACGGAAAGTATAGTTTAATTGATTTTTGGTTAAAAGAACTATAGATTTTAATAGTTTTTAAGATAGCATTCATTGATCTATGGTTTCACTTGTTTGTGGTGTTTATTTTATAGTTATATTGGGATTTTGACTGTGCTGTTTTAATTGTTATAAAATAAAATGTATAAATTTATATACCATTTTTCAGAGAAGTAGGAAAAATTATAATTAAAACTTAATAAAATACTATAAGAGTTCGCGGAGTCAAAAAAAAATATACGAATATTGGATTTTCAATTTTTGTAAATAATATCAGCGTTTTTGTGGTTTTGTTGCAGGTTTCTTTGCGAATATTTTTCAGGGGCAGCAGGTACAAGTGTAAAAAGTGCACTGAAATGTTTACTTCTGGAATTCTTAATATTGTGTTGTTGTATGTGTTTGTTTTAAAGGTGTATAAGCTATCTGGATGTTTGCCTTATTTTTTCCCTTTCTGATAAATATTTACGAGCGATTCTTCTCGTTCTGAATTCCGAATTTAATATTTTTTGGGGTAACAACCTAAACGTGTGAACTCCCCAAAAGTGTAATAACATTTCAACGACCTACAAGTACGGAGTAAAAATGATTTTATTTAATGGGTTAGACGCAGCGTCTAAATGAAAAGCACCGAGAGCTTGAGGTGTAAAATGAGGTAATTCCGAATTTAAAAGTCAGAGCTCAGGTAAAACAAAAAAAATAACAAAACAAAACTGGTTTTCGGATGATAACAAGATGGAACCAAAAAAAGAGGAAAAGAGGAATGAAAAGAGAGAAAAACCGGAAAGCTAGAAGTAAAAACAAAAAGCTAGTCAAGAAAGCGAAAAGCAACGTATAACTGTATTTTTATAAAGCATATTTAAAGAAATCAGCCCAAGCACATGGGATGTACAAACGTACAAACATATGTTTGTAAGATATTCAATGGAATCCAGTCACGGCCCGCCGACGCAAAGTCAATTTGCAAATACAGTCCCGCAACCGCAAATGCAAAACAGGCAAATAAAATGCAATCAATGTTTTAAAACCAATTAAATATAGTTGCACAAATTAAATTTTAACCGTCGGCAAACCGAACATCAAACACTAGTAGGCAATTATTGATATTTTAAAGTGTTTTTTGGCGTCACTGACACAGTTCGTGCTCTCTCGCTCTCTTTTATTTGCCTTTTCTTTTGTTGCTTTGCATGTGTGTTTCCCTTTTTTATTTTTTTTGTGTGTTTGTTTGTTGCTTCTTTTTCCGTGTCTCTCTATTTCGAATGAGAAATAAACTCAAAATTCTCTGAATATTTCTTTTTTATTGTCTGAGAGCACAGAACGGCAAAAACAAAAGGGAAACACAAACGCGTCACACACACACACCCACACACACACTCAAATTAGTTGAGGCAACAACAATAAGCGATGACTCTTGTTATTTAAACACTGGCTATTTTTTCTTCCTCTTCTTGCAAAAGCCACGCGACGATTGTTATGTTTCAAATGCAGTTTAAGGAACAAGCGTTAGCAAAAACATTTAAATCAGCACAGTTTCGCGAAGCAAAGGCAATTACAAAACCAAAACACTTGAGGGCGCCGCGACGCGTGGAAAGGAGATGGCAGATTAAAAGACAAAGACAGCTGATGAGTACGTGGAAGCGGTGATTTTCGATTTGTTTTGTTTTTGCTATTGCTTTTACACGTTTCTCACAGTAATTTTTTTGTTTTGATTTTGTATTAATCAATTGTTCTTGATTAAATTTAAATTAATGAATTAAAATCTTGTCTTATTTTTTCCGGCGATTTATCGAATTTTTTTTCTCACATTTCTTTCTTGTTTTTATAGAAAACGAATGGAATTTACCAATATTTTTCGTCTTTATGTTTTTGAACGGCAAACGGGCAAACGGAACAGCGTGCGCAATAGCGCTCCTCCGAGTCTTGTTGAAACGCGCGCCTCCTTTTTAAAAATGAAATGAAAACAAACGACGAAACGACGATAGAGGTGGAGTAAAAGATGCCAACACGGATGTCATCGATGTTTCCATAATATCGGTCATATCGATGTTTGACTGAGATTATCGATGCTTATCTGCCCATTTCTCTCTCTCTCTCTCTGTTAGTTCAACGTTGCTCTAACTTTGCGCTGTTAGTTTAAGGTTTTGTTACCATTTCGCTGTTAGTTCGACGTTCCGCTAACATTTAACTGCAAAACACAAACCCCGCCAAAAAGCACGCAAATTCACCACTAGAGGTGTATGCCAACATCAATGTTTTCCCACCTCTAAGCAACACGGCGCTGGACAACATCTTGTTTGCCACGGTCAACATGTTGCCTGGCGAGGTGAATTTCCGTGCTTGTGGTGGGTTTGTGTCTTGTTGTGAAATGTTAGTGAACTAACAGAAAAATGTAAGCGAAACGAGTCTTCCGAGTTATCTCCGAGAGAAAATTAAAATTTGAGTTTGAATATGAATATGAAACCGAATGACCGCAGTGCTGAATTGACGCAAATATAAACCGAAAACAAACTGTTAGTAGTTTGTCTCCATAACTGACATACGGGCATACTATCTTTTAACCGCTAATTCCGATCTTAGCTCACTGTTAACCGCATCAAGAAAGGTGGTAAGATCTGAGTGGTTGGTGACTTAGCACACAAAAAAATTTACAATACTCCTTGGCCCCCATTAAAATATATTTAAAAAAAACATAATAAAGATAATGGCCATCGTAAAATAGTGAACTAAAATAAATGTATCTTTAAACAAATGATTCTTGTCTAAGCTTAAAATCTAAAACAACAAATTGTTTATATAAACCAATTTTGGACCATTACAATTCTAACATCTTAAGAATAAATCTTAATTTTTTCCCCAAGCTGTACTGTGTATATTTTGCTTGTATTTGGAATAATTAAAACGGAAAAGACAACTCATTCGACTTAAATTTACCGCCAATTTATTTTAAGTGCATAAATACTTTCCCGCCAAATTTAAAGTATGACCATTTGCAAGTGTGTACTTTTGAAAGCCTTTTTGGTATTTTAAGGGATGAAAGTGTCGGGCACTCTTGAATTGCAGCTGATCGATCAAACAAAAAAATTGATACACAGGAATTAAGGAAAAAATGCTCTAAATATAGAAAGAGAAAGTGATTCATTAGCTCGCACGAAATGGACAAGAATCTGGATGAGGTGAGTGAACGACTTGGAAAGGTTTCAACCCTTTGATGGCCTAATAACTAGGATCCTTTGTGCTCTTCATAAAACACGCCTTGTTTTTTTTTCCAGGTCAAAGGCATTGTGCAAAAGAAGTTCAATGAAATCCGTGCGGCATTGCATATGCGGGAAAAGCTGCTCCTGCGGCAGCTGGAGGTCATAGCGAACACTCGACAGCAGCAGCAGCTGCTGAAGAAGTCCACCAACGCAGTGGATAACTCCGACGCCAAGAGGGAGCACAGTGGCGTGAGTTTCATACCGGGCGAGGGCGAAGATGCCGAGGAGCAGCTACTGACCGCCATCCGGAGCTACGGCCACTTCCTGCTGGACAACAGTGACATGCAGCTGGCGCTGCAGGACTACCGCACCACGGGCCTGAGGAACGAGGACTACATAGAGCCGCTGGACGACCACGAGACCATGTACAAGTGCCTGCAGGACGGGAATGTGTCATATTTGGACCTGGACGAGGATGGTGCCCCGCCGGAGGCCATTGTGGTGGACTTCTCACGCAACAGATCGCTGGTGGAGGACAATGCCAAGCGCTCCATCATCAACATCACGCTGCAGGAAGCCAAGGACCTGATCAAGAAGGCTAAGATCAAAAGGGAGACCTATGTGCCGCCATTGAACCTGGAGGAGCTGGATGACGAGCTGGAGTCCTCGATAGCCGAAGCCGTCTCAAGTTTGGGTCGCGAAACCTCGATTAAGTCGAAGAGCAGCGTTCAGGAACCACCGAAAACCAAGAGCCGCAAGCAGCGTTTCAAGCCAAAGATCACTATAAACAATTGCAATGGCACCATCAACCTGCGCAACATTGCCAGCCTGACCATCAATTGCGCCAGCGAGGAGGCGGTCAGTGCGGAGATTCCTCTGGCCAAATCCGCCGATTCCAGTACGACCGAACCCTCGAACTCCACGCCCACAACCACCGCCTCCAGTTCCAATTACTCCAGCAATGCCAGCTCGCGCTCGCAGTCGAAAAAGCAAAAGGCCAACAAAAAGCAGGAGAGGATTGAGCGCGAACCCAGCTCCGATTCCACGCCCACACCAGGACATCAGGGGAAACGCTACGAGGAGACCGAGATTCACGACGTCACCTGCGACTTCTACAATCGCCTCCTCAACGAGATCAAGAAGAGCATGGTGGAGAAGCCGCGCCGGTCGTACCACCAAATGACGGAGCCGGTTCAAGCTGCCGCTGCCGATTCCAGCTGCGATGCCAACTCCAATCCCAGGCAGTCGTCGGCTGCCAAGCAGGAGCCCGTTTCGACCACCACATCGCTCACACAGAGCGAATCGGGACCACAACTGCAGCCGGGCAAGCGGCTCATCCTCAAGAACTTCGAGAACCTCAAGATCATCCTTGAGGCGAACAGCGGCGACGAGGACTCATTCCATCCCGTGCAGATCGAGCAGTGGCTGGCGGAGATCATCTCGGAAGCAGATCTGGAGCCCATGCAGAACACCGACATCCTGGAGCACAGCCGCATCCACAGCAGCGAGAGTCCCTGAAGCTGGGGATCCGCTATATTCCAATCTATTTATCCTTAATGCACTCAGTATTTTCTACTCCATTATGTTATGTGTAGCTATAGTTTCCTTAGTTTGTTTTTAGTTTACATTTTAATCTTAGTTAGTTTTGATTTCTCAAAAGACATGTGCTTATGTTTTTGTTTTCAATCTTAAATCCATTTTGGCGGAACTGGAGTTGAAGAAATCTGAGACAGCTTGGTTTCTTTTCCATTCCTATAAAATTTCGGAGAATGTAAGTTGTTTAAGTCTCTATTTACAAGAAAACTATTGTGTTTAGTTGCATGAATTGGAGATTGTAAGTTTTCCCGCAAATTTGATTGTTCTCAAAAGCTGGTATTTACATATGTAAACAGATTACTATCAGATTACTAGGAATATATATATATTTCCCAAATCCGTTTCCGCCAAATTTTAATCAGAAACAAAAACCTACATAGTTTATGTACTTAATGCATTTGATTTTGTGATTTTTATCCTTTTGTAAGACTTGAACTCGTACCAATTTAGCAAGTAAGCTCCAGGCAGTGTTCAGAGCTCACCGTAGCCCCCATTTGTAAATGCAATCGCAGAGTCCACATTAAAGTGTTAATTGCCATCACAAAACGAATAGCTTTCGTTCAAGTTTTTTTGTTCTGGATCGACCGGTTCGACCGCTTGAATTTCGCCATGCAATTGAAATTCGGCATGTACCCATTAGAATTCCAAATTCGGCTGATTGATAAGACCATTAAAATATACAATCTAGTTTGTGTGTGTGTGTATTTTCGCAACATGGAGCGAGGCACTCTAACTAAAAGCACTAGTAATGGTGATTGAAGATAAGAGTGGACCTCTGTGGCGTGTAAAATTGAAGGTAATATAAAAGTATTGATTACAAGACAACTAAAGGATTTATCGCTCATAAAAAAGCCTTAAAGTATTTTGAAATTATAGAAATCCATTAAGTTGTGCCCCTTTAATTATTAAACAGCTACTTTAAACTATATTTTTAAACATTGCACTATTACCTATGTTAAAAAGTTATCGCTGTTGAGCTACAGCTTCAAGAAGTCCACTCTAATCTACATGAAAATGGTGTTGAGACATCGTAGGTTTCGCCTTTGAGGTAGTCTTGATTACTTGACCCTTCCGATAATGTCCAGCAGGAAGGGCGTGAAGTAGGTGATGATGCAATCGGCTCCCGCCCGTCGGAATCCCTTCATGGCCTCCAGCACGGCCTCCTGGAGGTCAAAGGCTCCGGCCTTGGCGGCATGGTACAGCATGGCGTACTCCCCGGACACCTGGTAGACGTACAGCGTGTGGTAGGGATAGGAGTCCTTGGTGGATCGCAGGATGTCCAGATAGGGCATGCCCGGCTTGACCATCAGCATGTCGGCTCCCTCAGCCACGTCGCGCTGGATGGCTCTCATGGCCAGGCTCCTGGAGCCACTGGGCAGCTGGTAGCACCGGCGGTCCCCGAACTTCGGTGCGGATTGGGCCGCCTCCCGGAAGGGTCCGTAGAAGTTGGACGTGAACTTGGCAGAATAGGCCAGCAGCGAGACACTGTTCATCTGGGCATCGATCAGGGCTTGCTTGATGGCCCTCACCCGGTTGTCCATCATGTCCGAGGGAGCCACTATGTGGGCACCAGCCCGGGCATAGGCCACGGCAATCTCCGCGATCCTCTTGATGCTGGGCCCGTTCTCCAGACCCGTCTCGCCCAGGAGGCCACAGTGGCCGTGCGAGGAGTACGGACAGATGCACACATCGCAGGCGATGAGGAGATCCGGGAACCATTCCCGCAGCTTGGGCAGAGCCAGAACCACCGGGTTCTTGGCCGAGTCCGCATTGGAGGCCTGCTCGTCCTTCAGTTCGGGATCCACGACGCCAAAGAGCAGCACCGAGGACAGGCCCTTGGCCACCAGCGGCTGCAGGTGCTCCCTCAGGCGGTTCAATCCGAATCTCGAGATTCCCGGCATGCTGGCTATCGGCTGAACATCGTCGTCGTTGCCCACGATGAACACCGGATACATCAGGTTGTGAGGGGCTATCTCGCATCCCGATTCCTGCAGCAGGCGCAGGGTGGCGTGGTGCATCCCACTGTGCAGTTTCCGCTCCATGGTCTCCGGTAGTTTGCCCCCAGGTGAAAAGTGAAACCAGCGTAACAAGTGAAACCTAACGTCCAAGTGCTCGCCGCGCGGTCATATTTAGTACTTTTTGTAGCGCGCGATTTTACAACACTTTTGTTTGAAGAAGATAGGGTGGTTCTTTGTAATCTAACAATACAATTAAACAATCATTTTAAAACATGAAATTTACATATATTAACGGTTTTTTTTTGGGAATTTCTTAAGATAACTAGCTTACAGCTATATCATTATGATAAGATGGGAAACTACGCACTGTTTGATATGATGATATGATATGATTTAAAACTCATGAATCAAAAACTAATCAAACAAAATCTTATATTCAATTTTTAAATAATACATAAAAACAACTTTAAAAAAATTTAATTAAACCACTGAACCTTATCTCACTTAAATTGTATCGAAAAATTTAACAGCGTGTATTACCTTACCATAAACTTAAGTATTTTTTTTAAATCAAAGTATAATTGTTTGCAAACATCTGTTCTGTTATTGTGGTTTATATGTAAAATATATTTTATCAGCCCATTCAATCCAAAGTTTTTGACTCAAAAACCAACCAAATAAAACAGCGTCTTAAATTTCTGCATACGACTATATATTTACTTTGTAATTTGTATCGTTTAAAATGTTTGGTATTAATCGTTATTACAGCATTAAAAGTTGGTGTTTCTGCTACGCTTCCGCACACCCTCATGCACACATTCTCGACCGGGCCTTTCCCGCCACAATCTGCTCGTTAATGGATAACTGAACATTTTATGATCTACATATATAGATTTATACGTTATACGAAATATTACAAATAGTTGTCCAACATGCTATACTTAGGCGTAATTCAAATAAACACGAATACATAAGTTATTTAGCCTGTCCTTGCTTAAAGGTTGTACTTTTGACTTAATTTTAGCATTGAAATCAGTGGACGAGAAACGGAACTAAAGCCTAACTTAAGCGTAAACGAATTGGGTTCAGTATTTGGTTTCGGTTTGGTTTTCAATTGTAAGTAACAGCCATTGGAAGTGCGTGTTTTCTTTTGTTTGGGTCTTGTTGCGATGGTTTCGATGATGGTCGATCAGCTTGTGCTCATCCGTACGATGGACTAAGAAACCAGTGTGTGGTGGTAGTGCACACGCTTCTTGCGACGCCTTGGTCGCGGTTTCAATAGCCCCACATTTCCCCTATTCTTATCCTTATCCTTGTCCTCCTGCTCCTGCTCCCGAACTTCTGTTGCTGCTCCATGGAGAGTGACTGTGTAGGAGTGCAACTGGAGCATCTCCGGACTCTGACTCCTTCTGTGTGATGCTGGTGTGTGATTGGCGGTTGTTGGTGCGCTTAAAGTAGCTACTGCTGATGCTGCTGCTGCTGCTGCTGAACAATCCCCCTGAGCTTGTCAGGCGAAGGTCACTTGGTAGAAGAGCCACTCTTCCATGAACGACGGCACAAACGCCTTGGTGGTGGTGAACTTCACCTTGGGACGAAGCAGCTCCAACTGCTCCTCGAACAGACGCAGCTGCACCTTGCAGGTGGAACCATTGCCGTGGGTCAAATACTTGCCATCGGCCTTCAGCACTTTGAACGAGTGCTCGAAGATCGTGCGGATAAAGTCCCAGGTCTCGCCCTCCGGAGCATCGGTTATGGGAATATCCGTGAGATCCCCGAACACGTAGTCGAACTTGCGGCCCTGGGCAATGAACTTCTTCAAGTACTCCACACAGTCGCCCACAATGATCTCATACTGGTCGGTCTTGCGCTTCTCCAACACATCGCCACAGATCACGCTGAGGTACTTGTTGCACGTCTGCATGACAAGCTCATCAATCTCCAGCATCACCACATGCTTTGGATTCTCCTTAAGCAACTCGTACAGCAAAGCTCCATCGCCGCCGCCCAGGATGCAGATCTCCTTGCCCTCGTAGTTCTCCACGCCGCGACACATTAAGGTCTCCGTGTAGATCAAATCGGATTCAGCAATGTCTGAGGTGGGACAACCATTTGAAAGCATTAAAATCTATATTAGCTTTTACAACAAATTAACTTGTAAATTTAAAATATATTTTATATTTGGCTAAAAGCCCCCTTTAGCTCTTAAAATATCAAATCTCACAAATGTGTTAACGGTCACAAAATTTTATTATTTTAAAATTTACATTTAAGGTTGTCAACAAATTAAATACAAATAAAGACAAAAAAAAATTTAGAATAATGTTCTTTCAATTAGCTTCTTTAAAATGTTAAACATTGTTTTCTGGCATATATACGTGACCTTATGCACTATAAGTGACCCTATGACACCATCGCCAATCGATTGCTGACCCTGACACCGTTCGCGAATACTATGTGTAAAGTGTATAGTACTCATAACGTTCATATATACGTATATCTTGACTTACTTTGCAGTTCGTCCAGCAGCAGCATGTTGCCCAGCGTCTTCGAGTGCATGATTTGTATCTTCTGGAAGGGCGAACGCGCCTCGAAAACCACCTTGTCGATGTCGTACTCGATGATGCGCTCATCTGCGAAAGAGTGCAATTGATTAGTGATGCCTCAGTGGCCACATTAAGTGTGATATTGATTACGAATACTGATTTTGGCTCAATTGTTATAGGCAGCGCATGCAGAGAAACAAGTTCGACAAACAAATGCATCGGAATATTACGGAAAAACAAAGAGATACGCAAAATCAGAAGACTGAACGGAAAATGGACTGAAATGATCTATCATGCTGGGTGCCACTAGAAGAACTCGGATAACATCAGCTCGGTGGTGGTGGTGGTGGTGGGTGGTGTGGTGGTGCTGCATACGCTCAACGGTCATACGTTCACACATTTCGGATGACATACAGTACAGTAGCGGTAGTACGAGTATCATAGTTGCTCTATACTTGCAATATGAGTAACCAAACGGATTGGGATTGCCTTACCTGACGACGGGAAATACCTGGAGACATCGCCGCGCTTCAGCGTCGGCAGCTTCTGGGCCTTGATGGCCTTCAATTTGACAGCCAGGACATTCTCCAGGCTCTTACCGCTCTGCGGATGTTCGTGCGTCGATGTTTCATTGTTTTATTTCGATTTTTTATAGAGCGTGATGTTGTTTTTGTGGTGGATTTGGTGTTGTTGAAGTTGATAGTTCAGGAACCAATATAAATGCGAGCGTACGACGAGGAGCATTACGAGTACGAGAGTCGATATCGAGGCGGGGCAGGTGACACATGTGCGTTGGGGCGTAAGTAGTTTAATTCAATATTTTACACATTTATTCACAGTTCGAGGCAATTTAGGTGTAATTTTTGGTCCAGGAGATGTGGCAGCGGTTGTTCATGATGATCGATGATCGTTCGAGTGTCGATGGAATATATGAAAATAAAAAGTAATTTAAATTAAAAATAATCTCAAAAAGTGGGGAAGCTAAACAGCAGTGATGCCAATGGCTATTGAAAAAATAAAATAACTGTAGAAAATACGGTAACATAACAACTTTTCTTTAGGAAACCTTTTTTGTCATTCAAGAAACTACAAAAAGTTCTTGAAACAGAACCAAACATTTTAAATTATATGGAAGGTAAATGTTTTCCTTATATCTTAAAACTTATATTGTTAAAATCTTAATTAATTTACTAGATAGTTTTCTTGGGTAAGCTTTTTATTTGCTAAACTCAAATAAAATTGTAGCAATAACGATTTATGATATTATTATATATGTATATATTTCAAATATTAATATTATTTGACGTATAGTTCTTTTGGTAGTATAATTAATAAAATGTTTAACAAAATCCAGAAAAATAAAATATGTTTTAAAAGCTAGTTTAAAATTCATTCAAAAGACAAAGAAAGTAAAAATGTAGATTCAAACAACAAACATAAAGAAAGAAAAGATTGGCATCACTGCTATAAAAGATTGAAGGACCTTCTGAAAAGTTGGAGAAACTAGCATGCAGGATCGCCTAGGGAAGTAATGCCCCTAGGAGGTAACACTATGCTAACATGATCTGTGGTTGTGGAAATGTGCAGAGATTACTAGGCGGTTCAGATTTTTTTTTTGGTGGAAACGACAACTTGGCGAATTTACAAAGTCTGAAATTCGGTGACCCAGGCAGGTGTCCAATTCAGGTGATGGTAATGGGGTTTTTCTTTTTTTTTTTTTTTTTTTTTTTTTTGGTTGCGGCAATCGGAAAAACTAGTGGTACTTGAAAAACTGCACGGGTGTTCTAGATTCTGCAGTGGAATTTTGAAAGAGAATTTCGGCATATATTGTAGGTTGTATGTAAAGTGAGTTTCGAGTAAATATTTATTGCAAATGGAACTAGCAGGAACTAAACTGGATTTGGTTGATTGATTGTACATAAGTTGCATTAAGTTCGACCAACCTGAGCTAGTCATGTATATGTCGATATATCCACCGCGCTTAATCGGCGGCAAGTACTTGGACCGATCGGAATCAAATTTCTGGCGCAGAATCAGTTCCACTGTGCGCATGGTCTGCAATGGTAATTTCCTTTATTTAAGTCCTTGCAAGGCGGATGTGTGTGGGCAGCTGGGGGGCACGATGGCTAAATTATAATAATGGAAGGTGACCTTCAACCGCCGAGCGGGAAACTCTTCGAACGGCCCACCACCACCACTCACACCAGACGACACAGGCAGCCCGGCCCAACAAAACCTATTTTTAGTCCAAATACTTGATACTTATGAAAAAGGAAAGTGAACAGAACGAATAAGGGAATATATAGCGGGCCATGCAAATATGCATGTGGTGATTGTGTGTGCAGGCATATTGCAAAATCGCAAAATTACAATAGAAGGCTCAGCCACACGCGGATTGCGAAATCCAACAAACCGAACCAACAGCAAGCTGTCCTAAGCAGAACACGATGCCGGCCAGATAAGGAAAGTTCCACAACAGCTGCTCTCAAAATAATAATGGCATATATTGGAATTTAAAATGATTTTCATTAAAATCAGTGGGTTTTCGGCATGTAAATTTTTGTGTACGAAACGCCTATAAAACCATTCGTTTTCCTCTGGATATTTATCTTCATAGTTTTAGAATCCCCTTCAATTTTTTCTTGTCGAGTATATAAAATTTTATACATTTTCTATCTTGTTGTATTAAAAGGTCAAAATCAAAATAAATTTGTCTTTGTTCTTTTAGTTTTAATATTTTTAAAAAATGTGCAAAACATTGTGTCTTAGAACTTGATATCAATTGTTTGTAAAATAAAATATGCGTTTAATATTTTATTGATTTATTTGTAACTAAATCATAACAAATAATTTTTATTTTAATAATTAAATATTTTTGAATTTATTATTTTACTTACAAATTAATTGTAAGTCAAAAGCAAATAAATAAAATTTTTTTAAAAATATTTTTATATGTTAATGTTTATTATTTTATTTATATATTTTTTTAAAACTGATTGAAATAATTTTTGCTTTAGAATGCATTAAAAAGAAACTCATTTCGCAAAACAGTGAACTGTATATATTGATGCTAATTGTTTGGCTATAAGTGTATAGGCATACATGGGCCTGCTCTACTTTTGTCGTAGTTTTGTATACTTAAATTAGAAGTTATGAACTATATTTCTCCTTTTTTTGTTACCAAACCAAGGTTTTTATATTTAGTAGTAGTATCTCTTATAGATTTTATGTTTAAAGCTATTTGCTTTAAAATGTTTGCGTATGAGATTATAGGCATATAGTGTGGCTCTTGTAAAAAGAGGCGAGAACAGTTAATATAAAATATTATTTGCCATAAAAAAGGAGAGGTAAAAGCCCGCCTATCTGTGACAAACATTTAATGGGCTCTGTGGGCGGTGTTTCTCCGTAGTTGTTGTATAAGAACCATGCCCCAGGGCCTAGGCGCATCCAATCAATAGATCTCGAATCGGACCCACGTGCGCCGCCCCAAAAGAGAAATAAAAACGGGACTGGGGCTGCGAGTTAACCTAGCAAAGCCCAGCTAAAAAGCCAATGTGCTATGGCGGCATGTACATACATAGGTGTTAGATAATAGAACCGGGGAAAGTGATGGCTGGGGGCCACTTGAGGCTGAGGCCAAGGACGGACGCACTGACCCTGACCAAGTGCCGGGGATTTGAGCACGGAAAATGGTCAAGAGCACACACACCAGCCCCCATTTTTACACCCACACCCACACATATATCATAAACCATATACCATACGAACAATACTGGTATGCAAGTGCGCGGAAAATCAATTTTACTTGGTGGGTGGAGAAAACCCTTTCCCAATCTAATCAGCCGCGACTCGGAAACGGGCGGTAAATGTGGGTGGTGTTTCCTTTTTTTGTTGGGTGTTTGGGTTTGGGTCGAATTTTCAACCAAGGAATCTACACTTGGGACTTCCTACGTACGTCGAAGGATATGCTCGGCTCCTTGCCGTCGGGCAGAAAGTACTCCACGTTGAGGGTCAGCAGACCGTGCTGGAAGATCCGGCAGGTAATCACCGTGTCCTTGTTCTCGTGCAGCACCGCAAAGTATCCGTTCTCCGGCGACTCCATCGAGTAGGCCAGCTCCAGCTGGGGGAACACCTGCTCCAGCTCGCTCCGCAGGATCTTCGCCACTTTCAGGCGCGACTCCTCGTCGGCGGTTTTGTCCTTGTCCAGCGTAAAATCAAACAATATTGTCTGGGCCGCCATGGTGTCGAAATTCAGTGAAACAAAACCGTAGAACCGCGAACCGAAATAGTGTCACCCGCCGATAACGATAAATGTAATTCCACCGTCAGTGTTGCCAGATGTAAAAGCCGTTTCCCCCTAAATAATCTCGACCAACCCCGATTTCCCGCTATAAAATCCAGTTTTCCCCCTAAATTCAAACGTGGAACTATTTTGGGCGTTCCCTATGACACTACATTGTTGGAAACATTCATTGTCAAATTCGTTGAAGCTCAGAAAGAGACAATAAAATTCAGCATCAATTTTCAGCCATTGAGGTAAACAGCTATTTTATATTTTAATTGACTTAGCTTGGTAAGTCCTAGATCTTGCTTGAATTGAAAACGCCAAACTATTTGATTTATTTTACAAGCAATATAGCAGGCAATATATATATCAACCTGCTGAAATTTTAGCCAGTTGAATTTTCAAACTAAGCTTAGTTCAGCAATTCAGAAATTCAATCGATTGGTAAACTGTTGAGCAGAAGAAAGTAAAACAAATTGCAAATAAAAATAACTGCTGAAGAAATCGGAATTAAAAATAAAAGCGGTAAATATTTTAAAAATCAGTCCCATCGATAGTGTCGATGATTGCTAAATTTTAATATCGCAAATATCGATATCTTTTCGGTGGTTGGTTACCCACTTGCCACCACTAAATCGCAGTTCCCACGGCACGGGCCGCACTTGCTCCCAATTTTCGTAAACAACTTAAAAACGCGGCAGTTCTTGTGAAATTACATAAATCTCTCTGATGACTGTGGCCTAAAGACATAGAAGGTACTGTGCGCGCCATAAGAAACATACCAGAAACGGATTCCTGGCGCACCTGAACCTGAACTTGAATGTCGCGTGTGTTGTTGCTGCTTTTATGCTAGACGTAGGCCAAGCAAACAACAACAAAAACAAGGCTGCTGGCGGCAACAATGGTTTGCTAATTATAAATCTCTCGATCCCAGAGAATCGAGAATCATCAGACGACGTTCATTGTGCTCGTGTTCAGAGATGTTAGATGTGTGGGCGCCGCAGCATGCCAATGTTGTTACGTCGTCGTCGTCGTCGGCAGCAGCACCCACCCACTCACCCTCTGCGCCCAACCACCCCCTAAGTTCACCCCCAAATCCTCCCCTTTCGTTTTATTTCGCGGTGGTGTCGCCACAGTTATTACCCAGCATATTGATTTTCTGAATCCTTTCAGCTCTCTGGCGCCGGATCCTTCATATTTACCTGCCGGTGAGTAAGTGTTTTATACCCTTGGTACTGCCAACTAACCATTATAAAATCCTACAGGCCCAACCCGTCACACACGCAATCCCCGCCAGTCAACCCAATTAGCCTGATTTCGTGTACGTCATCGCCGGGCCCAAAATAATTTGCATTGCGCGGTCGGGCAGCCAAAAACGCCGGACCAAAGTCGCCTTTTGCATTGTGCTCGATGGTGACGTCTGGCTTTACTATTTATATGGCCAGCGGGCCAGAGGCCATAGCACAATGAGCTGGGTTCGAGAGATCTGCCAGATAGCGCTCATTTACTTGACAAAAGGCACGGGCGCGATGACCACTTAGCACCCCAGATGATAGCTACATTTCGGTACGAACCAGTACAGCCACCATGCAGCACAGCACCGCGGGCAGCGAGGAGCGGATCACCAGTTCCACCAGCAGCCCCAGGTCCGGCCACAAGACCGCTGGCTCCCTGTTTGGCCTGCTGAGCAAGCGACCCAGCAAAGTAGAGCCCCATCCTGTTACCCCCGAATCCCCAAGGGTCCAGCAAAGACCCCTGTCCGCCTGCGGACAGTACGATGTGAGTTTCGCCAAGTGCAGTGCCGAGACGGCCGGCAATCATGTGAACAACAATGGTAGCACTCACAAGAGCCAAACCCTGCCGCTGGAGAAGTCGCACAGCGGGCTGATCAGCTTCCACAGGCGTGCCAAGCCCGCGAAGAGCAAGAATCACTCGCACCGCCACAGCACGGATGCGGGATCCCAGAGCGATGGAGGAGCCGATGTGGTGATGCGACGCAAATCGCCCAAACACCGATCGCCGAATCACAACCGCTTTAGCCACCAGTTCAGTCTGTGCTGCAAGGCGGAGAAGAAACCGCTGACGCCACCTGTCACTGTGCGGTACAACTCCATCCCGGATAGCAACAGCGTGCTGCGGCGGGACAACCTCTCGCTCAGCTGGAGCATGGTGGACAACAACTCGGTGTCGCTGCACTCCAGCGAGGGATCCTCGCATCGACCGCGTCCGTCCAGCGAGTGTGCCAGTGCCCCCGAGTCGCCGGTGGCCACCAAAACCTTCTTTGCCCAGTGCAGTCCGGCTGCGGCCAGCGCTTCGGTGGCCAGGAGCGAAAGTCTACAAAATCGATCGCCCATCAGACCCATTGCAGTATCTGCCTGTCGCTCCCGACTGCGTTTAAAGCTCTATCCACCCGGGCAGGAGCTGCCGCCGCTGCAGTCCGCCGAGGAGCCGGGGGACATTAAGAGAGCCACCACGCCACAGCACATGTCTTCGCCCAATATTGCCACCCAGCCAGATGAAATAGAACCCATACAGGAGCAGCCCGGTGTGAGGTTTATGTCGCACGAGAACATGACCCTCCAACGACAAGGATCCGGCTCCAATCTGGCCCGCCAGACTCTGATGGCGGCACACGCACTGAATCTCATCCCGGCGGACAAGGCCAGGGAACGAAGCTATCTGGATGGCCGGCTGGGATCGTCTTCGCTGTTGGGACCCAGTGAACTAGGTCGCGTGCTGCCGCAAAAGGAGGTCACCATCTTCGTGGGCACGTGGAACATGAATGGACACAGTCCGCCCAAGTAAATAAGACAAATAAATTTAAAAAAAATATATTTTAATTTGAGATATCTTAATTTCAGACAACTAAACGACTTTGTGTTGCCGCCCAATGTGGAGCACGTTCCCGATATTGTGGTAATGGGCACCCAGGAGTCCACGCCCGACCGTTTTGAGTGGGAAGTGACCATTCAGGAGACGCTAGGACCTTCCCACGTGCTCTTTCACGCCACGACACTGGGCACTCTTCACCTGGCGGTTTACATGCGACGGGATCTGATCTGGTACTGCTCGGTGCCCGAGGATGCCTCCATGTCCGTGCGCACGGGATCCGCCTTTCGCACCAAGGGAGCCGTGGCCATATCCTTTTGCCTATTCGGCACTTCCATGCTGTTCGTGACCTCGCATTTAACGGCGCACCAGCAGAAGGTGAAGGAGCGGGTGTCGGACGTGAAGCGCATTATCAATGCTCTGGACTTGCCGAGGAATTTGCCCAATCTGCGGCATAAGAATAAGGATGTAACACAGAACTTTGACAATGTGTTCTGGTGCGGCGATCTGAACTTTCGGCTGGGCGAGCCACGGGAGAAGCTGCTGGAGTGGATTCAGAATACCAAGTTCCCGCTGCCATCGCACTTGCCGCACGGCTACATGCACACGGATCAGTTGACTTCCGTGCTTGCGGATGGCGCCGCTTTTCGCGGATTCATGGAGGCGAACATCACATTTCCACCTACGTACAAGTACGATCCGGGAAGTCAGAATTTTGACACTTCGTCGAAGCAGCGGGCGCCCGCTTATACTGATCGGATTCTCTACAAGTACCGCCAAATGCAGGGCCTGGTCATCCGTCGGCAGACTCTTGTGCCGGGCGTGTCCACGCCCACGCAGCCCTACGTCCAGTGCCTGCTCTACGACTCGGTGCCGTCGATAACCACCTCGGACCACAAGCCGGTGTGGGCGCTCTTCCGAACACTCATCCGAGCAGGAACCGATGCGTAAGCTTGACATTCTTTGGTACCATGGAACTGCTAGTTAACGTCGTCTTTATTTCAGAATTCCCCTGGCTGCTGGCCTCTTCAGCCGCGACATTTACCTGGAGGGAATGCGACGGCGATTGAATAACCAATATACCGGCGCCTCGGCCGTGTGTGTGCTACAGTAAACTACTGAGGTGCTAACCAAAGTTAGGAATAGTAGGCCTTCTTTACCTGGGAATCTATTTAGTCATTACTCGAATCTCAAAGTACTAGTCAATGCTTTCCTACGGTTGTGTGACGTCTTTGTAGTACCCCGATTAGATTGTTATCTAGTGCGCTTTTGGATACCTAAATAATGATTTAGCCGTGACTTACCCTGCAATGCTGCGGTAGTTCTTAGGCGCTGCCTTTCGCCTCGAGGCCTTAGTCGTAATACGTTCCTTATGAGATTATTGAATACATACTCGAGCAGCAATTCTGTACCTCTACTCTGAAGCACAAGCTTAGTCTGTAGTTAAACTAAATCTGTTAGTTAAAGTTTAGTCAAATATTAAAATGAAATCGAAATATGAATTACTTTGAATGTGTAATCTAAACTAGCAGTAAATATACTATATGAATCTGGCAAAGAGCTTTATTAATTGTTGAAATACATTTAATATTTATTGTTAGCTTTATTATTTAATTCTTATTTAGTTTTTCTAAGAGTTACTGTTGAATTACGTATAGTGAAGTTGATTATTTTTATAATTTACAATCCGAATGAAGTTTTTAATTTGTTATAAGCAAACGTTAAGTTTTTGTTTACTTTTATTAAACGATTAAACGGTTGAGCTCGACGGTTCCTTACTTAAATCCGAAAATTGCGGCGGGTGGCACTCGACAAAAACAATAGCTCGGGGTCGTTTATACCCCGAAAATGCGCCAAAAACGACCGGAAAGACCAACTGCGAGTCCCAAACCCGCGGCAACCAATACGCCACTCGGACACACACACGCAAATATGTTAAACTTTTGACCAATTTCAACTTGAGTTGGTTGCCATCGGACACACTCCGGGGGCAGCAATTTATTGGATGACGATGGCGATTGGATGGCGCTTGATGGCCATGCTGCAGTCGCACTGCCACTGGCACCGCCACTTGTGCGCCATACAAGTGGCCTCGCGGTCTCCTACCTCCTACCTTCAACCTGCTGCCTGCCACCTCCGCCCATTTGCACCCATCCCCTCGTCCTGCAAGTGCAACTCCACCCAAAAAAGCCGGTTGCCATTTGTGGTTACGGGTAATATGCGTGTGAGAGAGCGTCAACCGAGGGCTGATCTTGTTGTTTGATGCGTTTTTTAATCAGAGTAAGTGAGTTTTTTTGTTTAATTTAACAGTATTCGGATGTTAAGTTTATAATTTAGGGTTAAAATTGGTAAGTTGTCTACCATATTCCTGAGCGAATTTTATTATATTATATTATATTACCACTAAAACAAACCAACATTCTGAATGGTCTATGGCACTAAGTTAAGTAAAGTCACCTTTGTGGTAATTAAAAATCGGATTTTGGTATGATTGATTTGATTTTTTTTTAATCTATATAAATCGATAAAAAATATTTAAGGATTAGAATTGGTAAGAAGACTGCCATATTCCTGAGCGATTTTTATAATACTTTATTTTATTTTCACAAAAACAAAGAACAAATTTAATGGCCTATAAAGCAATATTTTTTATCTCTTTTGCTTATTAATTTTAATGTTATAAATATATAGACAGATTTTTCGATTCACGTGAAGATATGAGCTCAATAAGTTTTATATTTGAATACTCTTTTAACTGCAATTATTTATAGTTTTTATTTTTATTGAAAATCGTTTGTTTTTCAAATAAATTCCCTTTTTTTCTTAAATTTATTAATCCCCCCTCGTTCATGTGAATATTCATTCGAGTGTTCCAACCACTTGTCCAAAATCCGTTTTCGAAAACGATTTTGAAGAAGTCAGTGATTAAAATACCCCTGCCAGACATACTCGGATCCGTTTGTCCATTTCCACTTTGAGTGCCCCCACGAGAACTCACGGATCTCTTATGGAAGCCAGAGAATTTGTTTAAAAAAACGAGAAACAATTTTGGATGCAGTTTTTTCGTTGCGGTAAAGGGCTTGGCATTGCTGTTTGGGTGCTGGCTGTTATTGTTTTTTCTGCTGCTGCTGTAATTCATAAAGTTTTTGGTGCATTGCATTCTTTTTGGTTTCCCCTGGTGCATTGGTTGAAATTAGTTTGCGGCGGTTTGGCGAAATAAAATTGTATATGAAAAGTGGGAACAAAAAACTGAAGCTCATTTCCTTTTCCGACTGCAGGGCCGGTGCGAAAATTTAACCACAATATATGAAATTATATTAGCATTGGAGTCGGGAAAACTTGGCGAATATAAAAACTATGCCCCTGCTGTCTGTCCTCATGGCTGGGTGTGTGTGCACATTAATATCCTGTGCGCATTCGTACGTGTTAATATGACTTTATGACTTCATATGTGTCCATATTTTTGTCCTCGCCGCTTCACACTAAAAAGTTTTATTGTTAGTTACGCTGCTGCTGCCATCAAAGCAACAATTTTCATTCACAGCGCCGGAGATGCAGAAATTATTAAAAATTTTCCCTACCCGTATCTCAGGCAGTCGTTTGCACCGTCACAGACTGAACTTTTTCATATGTAACTGCGAGATGCCACGAGATGCACCCCGGAACGATGAAAGGAGCCGTCATGATGGATGGGAGTCCTTTAGGTGTCTTGGGTAGGGGACAGTGGGCCTCTAGTGCGTATACGTAATTAAAAGATGGGATCTTTATAGAGTAGTTATTTTTTGGGTACCAGAAAACGTACTTTTGTTATTAAAAAAATACATAAGTTAATGATTAAAGTTAGATAAAATTTTAGGTGCATCATAAAAATAAATAGATTGAATAAGGTTAGATTATTAAAAAAGATATTTATACACCTTTTTTTTAACGTACCAAAATTTTCTTATTTACTTTTCAATTATCAGACTCTTCTTAAAAATCTTTATAGTTTTACTAGCCGAAATTTCCTAACGATACTAATTTTATGTTTTCAAATACATATAATTGGGGATAAATTAATTGTATGTTTTTAAATATGTATAATTGGTCATAAACTAATTAGAAAGCTTTATAATTTAGTATATTAAATTAAAAAAATATTTTGTTGAATATTGAAACTCTTAGTAGTAAAAATGTGATTTGTGGCCCATTTACCCGGCGAAGTTCCGGCTCCACATTAATGGCAGTTCGCATACGCGATATCCCACACTGGTGTTGTTCCCCCAAGGATAACCCTCCGTGGAATATACCCGGCATTCGCGAAGCCACTTGAATGCTTATTGTACATTTCAAACAACTCTATTACGAATATTTTTCATATTTTCTTCGCAAGTGGGGCGCAGAAAAAGTTAACATTAAAAGCGATGGCGATGGCGGTGCCGAAAAGGCTGCCGGAGTGACTTTTTCCCTTGCAAAGAGGAGTGGGGTGGGCAAAAAGGGTGGCGGGCAAGGCAAAGCAACCAATTCGCATGCGGCACGTTACATTTTCGCAATAAAAAATGAATACCGTTTTGCATGCATCTGTAGGAGACTGCGAATCGCACTTGCTCCCAAAGCTGGCGAATGTATGTGAAAAGCGAGGAGAAAGGGAAAAGTAATAAAAGTACGTGCCGCACTAACAACAACACCCGGAAAAGCTGAAGGAAAAACTTACACACATCTCGTTCACAGACAGCGATGCATCGTGTCAATTTAGCACGATAAAATAAGAAAAACTTCGACTGGCCGAAGTTGGAAATATCCTTTCAAGCCGTTTTATATAATTTTTTAAAATTTTTTTTTTATCTTTATCGGGAGTCTGATTGAGTAATTTATTTGTTCATCTTAAGAACTAAAAATGTAACATTTATATATTAATATTTTTTTTATATTCACTGATGTCCCAAAGTTAAGGTGTAATGTTTGTTTGTTTAAGAAACGACTATTATTCAGATTTTTTCCGAAAAAACATATATCGATATAAGTTTAAATGCTTGTTTGTTATTAAATCCTAGGTTTTCTTTGATAAAATTCTTACAAAAACTAAAATACCTTGTTTCCGCTTGGTTCGCTGCTTCGCACATGTCACGATCGCGACGCATGCAAATGCATGGAAACGAATGTGTGTTAAAAATGGCAGTCTTGGAATACGAGTAAATGTAATAAAAATAAACTACGATTTTCTTTGACTATTCTGGAGCCCTGCACCCGCCATATCCTTTCCCATTCCCTTTCTATGTATTCACTGCCCACCAAGCAATTCTTTATATGTATTATGCGAATATCATGGCGTTTCTTTGGGGTGTCCTGCCACCTTAAAAAGGAAAAGGGAGTCGCGCTGGAAGGGCGGAGTCTGCGGCGACGGGTCGTAACTGCTTCGCACGCACCACTCTCGCGTTTGAAGTAGCTTTGGATTGTATAAAAGTATCCATAGCTACCATAATTTAATGAAAACATAATCTGCATTCAGAAAAGGAAAAATCGCAGAGCGAACACCAAAGCCAAGCCCGCGAGTGAAAAACGCTCAGCAAAGGGAAAGGCAGCGCCAAGGATATCCTGCTGAAAAAATGTATTAAATGGCGACAGGACTGCTCAAGAGTGCTTTCATGGACTTTTGTTGGTCGCCAAATTCCGTTACCAGATGTCAGATTGTGTTCTCCATTTCTCAAGAGGGAATGGCTTGCCAATATTTCTAGAGGTTTTTAAGATTCTTCATAATTGGTGAAAATGTGACTGAAGCTTTGTTTGTTTAAATCATAGAACTGATAATTTAATTACAATTAGATTAAATATAAGTTTTCTTAAAACTAGTTTTGAACTTTATTTTTTTTAAATTGTATATTTTCTTATTTAATATAAAAATAGATGTCTGATTGTATTTTTAAAGAGGAAAGGCTTGCCAATATTTCTACAGGTTTTTAAGATTCCTTTTTTTGTTAAAGCCATACAAAAAATAATAGCATTAGGATTTAACATACAATTTTAACTTCAGTGTACAAAATTGACTTTATTTTAAGTTTACTTAAAAGTTGCTCTTACAATATTAATATATCGTATATTTTTATTCAATTATTTCATTTGAACCAGTAACCACGCAATCAAATCAAATATTATTTGAATGACAAACGCAATTGGAAACTTATTTACTCAATTGATTTGAGCGGCTTTTCCGGCAGTTCATATATTGAAGGCTTCTCTTTACTATCCGATCCGCTAGGCAATGGCAAGTATCTGGTTGCGTTTTCATTCTTTTCCCCATTTTATTCAATTTTCCATTTAATTTTTTTGCCAGAATTTTTGATGCTTCCGCCGTGGCAGCTTCTTGTATTTGCGCGGGGCACGACCAACAACTTGAGCAGCGACTTGAGTAGCTGGCAGAAAAGTTTCTTAGACAACTCCTTCAGGTCCGCGGAAAGAAAGTCGAGGGACTGCCGGCTAAATATCCTTTGGATATGGCCTTTGGAGAATCAGTAAGGCGCCGAGGACCACTTGTGAATACGCTTTGATGCGCGTGGCTTTGTGCGGGAGTGTGACTG